ACCAATACCAAACCAAATTAAATTCTTTTAACGAACTAATTGGGTCCCATACTCCAATAAGGAAGTATACCTAATAATTCTCTCCCTACTGACTTAGGTGGAGACATCAACCATACCCGCCAAAGTTCGACACTTCAAATGTTTGTCTCTTGACAGAGTCTTAGTCAACATATTCGAAATATTATCATCCGTGTGAATCTTTTCAAGTTGCAACAATTTCGAATCTAACACATCACGAATCCAGTGATATCTTACATCAATGTGTTTCGATCTCGAATGAAAAGTAGAATTTTTACTCAAATGAATAGCACTTTGACTATCACAATAAAACACATACCTTTCTTGCTTCAGATCGAATTGTTGTAAATTCCTTGCAAGCTTCCGTAATGTCAATAAATTCAGCTTCGGTAGTTGAGAGAGCAACACATTTTTGTAATTTAGATTGTCATGCCACAACTCCCCCTGCAAAAGTCATCAAATATCTCGAAATAGATTTCCTAGAATCAACATCACTGGCCATATTGGAATTTGTGAACCCATCAAGCATTGACTTACCATCCTCAAAACACAAACACACATTCGAAGTCCCTCGAAGATATCTTAGAATCCACTTCACCGCTGCCCAATTTTCTTTACCTGGATTAGAGAGAAACCGACTCACTACATATCATGACCCAAACCCGCCCCTATAGGTTTAGCATCGTAACCGGCTAGTAATGCTAGGATTACCGAAGGCCTCTGAGACATATTAACAAAATAATAGGGGCTAGCGGAAGTATATAACAGATATACAACATCCATTGAGCTATGCAGACTTATATGAGACAGAAAAATTTGAAACTTTTTAGATACATATTTACACATCATTCTTACGTCATCATATATATACAGATTAGACAAGAAGGGACTTAGCCCTATTTACAAAATAAACAAAGACTTGTTTAACCCAACAAGAAAACAAAACTTGTACTTGTGTACTTAGCCATAACCACTAGACATAGCTGGAACCTCCACGGGAGGCATATAGGTTGGCTGACAAAACAGAGTCCAGACAGAAGCTCTAGGCCTGGTCACGCGGATGATCACCTACATACATAAATAATACAGTGAGCTGGAGCCCAGTGAATAATAACAGAGTAAAGATTTTGCTGAATGATGTCCATACCGAAATAGAGTCTTGTACATAGAATAGATTCATATTCGTACTCTTATTCAATTCATATACAGAAATTAGAGTTCATGCTTAATCTTACATAGTACATCCGTTATCGCTACAAATCACATACAAAGCATCAAACGTCATACTTGTCATTTCCATAAAGGAACCTCCAGCCGGGTGTAGAATACTTGTCAGTTCCATAAAGGAACCTCCGGATTGGGAACTTGTAAACTTGTCAGTTCCATAAAAGAATCTCTAGCCGGGTGCAGAATACTTGTCAGTTCCATGAAGGAACCTCCGGACTGGGAACTTGTAAAATACTTGAATCATAGCATAATGTCACTTGTAACATACTTGAATCATAGGATAATGTCACTTGTAACATACTTGAACCATATCATAATGTCACTTGTAACATACTTGAATTATATTATAGTGTCACTTGTAACATACTTGAATCATATCATAATGTCACTTGTAACATACTTGAATCATATCATAGTGTCACTTGTAACATACTTGAATCATATCATAAAGTCACAAGTACTGGTCAGAGTTGGACAATCATTCATAGAATAAAGCATAGCATCTTATTGAACAGATCTTACCTCATAGGCAGAAAGTATCTTATCTTGAACTTAGCTTTACTAAGTTATTACTCACAGTGTTCAAATGCCTGGTTCGCCCTTGTAGTTGACCCTACACAATTCATAATACACATAGAAATTGGGTCACAATACAATTTATTCCGTTCTTTAACTTGTTTAACATTCTTAGGCTCTTTTCATGTTCTTTAATTCATTTACAATGTTTAATGCATACCTAAGAGTGCTTTGAAATGAAAGGGAACGGAAAACGAAGCATAAAACATATTTTCGAAACTTCTAAAATAGGGCCCTCCGCTCCAGCGTAGATTCAGCCGCACGAGCGGACCCCTTAAGTCTGCAAAAGTACTAGTTGCTTACGAATTATGCTCGAGTGAGACTTTTGACGCTCGAGCGAGGAGTTTAGTAAAACAAGGTACGCTCGAGCGAGACTCTCCACGCTCGAGCAGACAGGTCGAATTCTGGGTTTTTCCAGATTATGTTTGAGCTTCAAAACTTGGTTCCAACCAATGTAATTAATATCATAAGACTTATATTTCCACCATATAACTTTTAACATGAACATAAAGGCCACTTTTACAAGATTTGAATCTCAATTTACATAAATCCATCTCATAAACTCGAATCATATCAAACTCACTTCTTAATTTCAAAGCTCATGCAAATTAATTTCCATATCATTTTGAAATATACATGCATGTGGAATATAGGCTTCATTTTTAACTTAAATGGTACAATTGATGATCAACTTTATGGAATTCAACATTATCATGCTTGCACGTGCCAAATAGCCTTCAATTCATTATGAAATGCATGTTTGTACTCAAATATGCAAACTCATGACAATCTTTTACATGCATGTACAAACAACTTCAAATTCATCAAATTCAACTCAATTCATGTTCTTCATATCAAGCCCAATTCCAAACTCACAAATTCTAAAACTTGAATTGAGCTTTTAAAATAATTTCGAAACTTGGGTTCATACTTGGGTTCATACTTGGGTTGTCTAAACATACAAACTCTTAAATGATCAAGAAAATATGATCAATTTTAAATCATTCACATCAAAACTCCCTTTAACCCATAAATTTTCAACGCTTAATTCTTATTTCATCAAAACATGAAATCAATTATTAGAAACCCATGATGTATGTACAATTAGAATATTAAAACTTGTAGAATTTATCCATACATGTAGAAATTAGACTCAATTCATGTATGATATTCCAAAATCAAACCTAAAGTAATTAATTTCTGATTGAACTTAATAAACTTGGTCTTAGCTCTAATTCTTCATTTTCTTGTCAATTCTCCTAGTAAACATTGCATATATGTAATTCCAATAAAACCAACTAATTTAATATATTCAATAACATGTTTAAATTAAATGAAAACCTTAAATTACATTACATGCATGGACTAGAGATTAAAATCAAACCAATTTTCTTCAATAATTTTGAATCCAATTCAATTTCTTTCTCATTTTACTAATTCCTCTTGAATCATGAAATTGAAATTATAAACTCTTTTAAAGAGACATTTGCATATATAAAATTAGGATCAAAACTACTGATTTTATATCTTTCCCAAGCAAATCATAATTTAATTCTTGAATCACTTTAATTTAGATTTTTTATTAATTTTCTTCATATCTAACCCAAATTTAAACTCATAAGTCTTTTACACATGAATTAAATCTAAAACTTCGAAATTCTAACATGCATGTAAGGATGAGTCTCAAACTTATGAAGAATAATAAAAAACCAAACTCAAACTAATTAATTTTTCAAATTTATTTCCTTAAATTATAGATGTTCCAAAATATGTTTAATTTGAATCAAACTCTTAAATTACATTTCATGCATGGGTTAATAATCAAAGTCAAAACCCATATTTATTCTTTAATCCCTCCAAATTACATGCATGTAGAAATCAGACCCAAATTCATGTACGATATTCAACATCAAACCACAAATAATCAATTTCCATATTTATTCCTATAACCATGAGCCTAGCTTTAAATTCTTACTCAAAACCCAATTTCTTACAATTCACAAGAAATTGATCCCATAGTCTCCTTAATTTCGAGTATTATATATAGATTCTACATGATTTGAGTATAAATTCCTTACCTTAAATTTTGATTTCAGAATTTATGGTTGATTTTCTCTTGGATCTTCTTCCTCTCTTTAAATTTTGGAACTGGCTTCTCTGCAGTTTTAAAGCAAACTGGACTGGACAGTCAAAGTAATAGGATGGTGACACGTCATTGAAATTGGAAATTAATGGCCAAGATTAAATTAGACACTCACAAGCTCTTTGGAAGATCTAAATGACATCGTTCTTTACAACCATCAACGTTAACACCGTCTCTGTGGGATTTTCAAAGATCTGATTTGGGCGCAAATTCCTTTGGGCATTTGATTTCCTTTGCCGCAAGCACTGTCATTGAATTTTTTTCAACCAAAGATTCTCCCTATATGTCAAAGAATTGAGCAAATCAACGACCACTGGAGTTTTTGATGATTAACCATGGTGACCCGTGTCCTCTGCTTTTTCTCTTTGTAGGTTAGTTGATTGAAAAGTATACTACCAGCAAGCATAAAGAATAAGAAAAGGTATGATGCACATATTATCATTTTATTTATTTATTATTATTTGATTTATATATAATATTATAATAAAATTGTACAAGTTACAAGCACAATGATAAAGATCAAAATTTTCAAAGTCAAAGATAAAACTCTCAATATATATACAGAGACTAAAACTATACACAAATAAAAAGATTTAAATCATTAATCTCAAGTTGAATATGAATTATGTTCATTGTAGATATGTTTATGTACATAGACGCTTATGTATAGACATATTAACCCTTCGCAAATAAAAATATTCAAATCACTAATCTCATGTTGAAAATAAATTGTGTTCATCGTAGATATGTTTATGTACATAAACACTCATGTATACACATATTAAAAGGTTGAAAAATATATATAGATATTTTTTTGTTATTGGAAAAATTGATGTGTGTTTTTATGCACTTTTTATTTTTTATTTACGTTTTTATTGATTTTTTGATATTTTTTTAATTATTGTTTTATTTTTGGATCTTTTTAATTATTAAACATGATGTATTTAGAATTTATTTTCCTCCGTACTAATGATGTTTCTTGTGTTAAACAGCAAGACAACACCCAAATTAAGGCCCCTTTATAAAAGACACTTCAATGTGTGAAGCTGTATCTTCAAGTCTCACAATTCTAGATTACAAACCTCAAATGGGTTTGGAATTTGATTCACTAGATGCTGCAAAAGATTTCTACAATGAGTTCGGGCGGATTACCGGTTTTAGTCTTAGAATTGAATATACTAACACATGTAAGAAAACAGGAAGGATCATTTCTAGGAGGTTTGTATGTTCAAAAGAAGGGTTTCGACGTGAAGACAAGAGAGATGATAAAACTAAAAATTCACGCCAAGAAACAAGAACTGGTTGCAAGGCGCGTATGAGTGTTTCATTCAACAAAAATAGACAAAACTATGTGGTTATTGATTTTGTTGAGGACCACAATCACCCACTTCATATTCCACAATGTGTCCATTTATTGCCTTCACAAAGAAAAATTGCAAAAGCTCAAGCAATTGAAGCTGATTTGGCAGAGGCATCCGGGATTAGATGGAGATCGACATTTGAGCTTGCATCTCGACAGGCAGGTGGAAGGGAATGTCTTGGTTTTACACGTCAGGACTTAAAAAATTATCTTCGAACTAAATGTCAGAAGGAATTGAAGTTTGGGGAAGCTGGAAGTTTGTTAGCATATTTTGCAGACAAATCAATGAAGGATTCATCTTTTCACTTCACTATGCAGCTAGATGTTGGAGAACAAATTACTAACATCTTTTGGGCTGACCCGAAAATGATAATTGACTATAGTTTATTTGGGGATTTTATGAGTTTTGACACAACATATAGAACCCACAAGGACTATTGGCCACTAGCGGTGTTTGTAGGGTTTAACAATTATAGGAAGACTGTTATATTTGGGGCTGCACTTCTATATGATGAAACAATTGCCTCTTTTGAGTGGTTATTTAAGAGTTTCTTAGATGCTATGCCAGGGAAGCAGCCAAAGACCATTTTCACTGATCAAGACCCTGCAATGGCAAAGGCTATCTCAACAGTTCTTCCTGATACGTTCCATAGAATATGCACATGGCATATGAGGCAAAATGCAATTAAGCATTTAGGAAGCAAATATAGAGGTGATGATGGTGGGATTGGTGCAGAGCTTACTAAATTTATTTACAATTATAAAGATGAGGAAAGTTTCTCCAGTGTTTGGGAAGACATACTCGATAAATTTGATGTTTGTGATAGTAGTTGGTTGCCTACTATATATAGGGTTAGAGAAAAATGGGGAAAACCATATGTTATGGAAGTTTGGTCAGCTTGGGCAGATACCACGCAAGTTAGCGAAAGCTTCAATGGTAAACTACGTACTTTCTTACAATTAGATTTGGGGATATTGTATTTTTTCAAGCATTTTGAGAGGATTATTGATGATATTACTCATATTGAGTTTGATTGTGAGTATGCTTCTCGTCAAAAGTTGCCAAAAATTGGCTTGCCCGTTCCCTTGTTGATCAATGCAGGAGATTTTTATACAAACCCAATCTTTGAGATATTTAAAGAACAATTTTTGAAAAGCTTGTCTGCTTTTGCTTGGAAACGAGATGAAAACAACCTTTCACATGACTATATGGTGAAAGTGCTTGATGAGCCTAAAGTTCGTGAAGTTAAAGTCAACTTACAAGGCCCAATGGTGTCATGTACTTGTCAATTGTTTGAGAGTTGTGGAATTTTGTGTGCCCATGCTTTGAAAGGTCTTGACATGATGAACATCAAGGATATACCATAACAATACTTACTAAAGAGATGGGCTAAGAAAGCAAAAAATGGAATAGTACAGGACATTAATACGTGTATAGATACACATACAGTGGCTAATTTGGATGTGAATTTTCGTTATAGGATGTTATGCCCCAATTTGATTAAGTTGGGTTGTCGTGTGGCTGAAAGTTTAGAAATGACGGACATGCTTGCAAAATTTACAGTTGAGATGGCAAAAAAGATTGATGATGTATTAAGTCGACAACCTAGTGTTGACCAACAAGCAAGTGAAGCTCATGCACCTTTTTCATCGAAATCATGCGAAGAAGTTTTGGACAAAAATCAACCTCATAAGTTACATACCTTTGGAGCAAAGGGGTTAAAGAAAAATGAGGGTTTGGGGAAAAGTAGGCCAAGAAAAAGGCCTAAAAGTTGGGTTGAGTTGCAAGCAAAGAGCTAGAAAAGCAGACAGATGTTGGAACCTCAATTAGCCCCTCACTCATCTACTACTTTTGCAGATACTACTTATCCCCCACTATTAGATTGTTCAATATAGGTAGAAATGTCTTGTTGTTGTGATCATATAAAATGAAATTAAAACTTAAGTTATATTAGTATTCTTCAATTGCAGGGTGTTGGGATGTCTAGTTCCATGGCATGCATGATTCCAGAAACACTTCAAGCTTGGAATGATTCTTCATTCACTCAATTGGAAACGGTAAAAAAAATATTATCTAATTTTCCATTTATATTATTCATTTCAAGATTGCATTATTGTTTAGTATCTTCATTTATTATTCTATTGCAGGGAGTTCAGATGCCCAGTTCTATGCTTTGTTCTTCATTACAAGATTCTCAAGGATTTGAAAGTGCTATGCGTTGAAACAAAATGACCCTATGTTCTTCATTTGTTAATGCTTCTTTAGTTCCAGTAACTGATTAGTGGAATTGTTTTAGTAGTTTCATTATTTTACAATTTCTTTTGAGGCAGAAGCTTCAATTGCAGGGTGTTGGGATGTCTAGTTCCATGGCATGCATGATTCCAGAAACACTTCAAGCTTGGAATGATTCTTCATTCACTCAATTGGAAACGGTAAAAAAAATATTATCTAATTTTCCATTTATATTATTCATTTCAAGATTGCATTATTGTTTAGTATCTTCATTTATTATTCTATTGCAGGGAGTTCAGATGCCCAGTTCTATGCTTTGTTCTTCATTACAAGATTCTCAAGGATCTGAAAGTGCTATGCGTTGAAACAAAATGACCCTATGTTCTTCATTTGTTAATGCTTCTTTAGTTCCAGTAACTGATTGGTGGAATTGTTTTAGTAGTTTCATTATTTTACAATTTCTTTTGAGGCAGAAGTACAATTGTTATTCCTTTTATGCATTTTTTTTTTTGCAGAATTTTATAAATAATTTATTTGACTCTCCAGTGTTATGTGAACAATATTTTTTCTAGTAATTTTGCACTTTTTATGTGAACTGTAAATGAAGAAAATGCTTTGTAAATCTATAATGAGCACAAGAAAATAATTAGTTAAATCAAAAGGGTCCAAAATAATACAAGTGATGAAATATTTGAATTTTTATAAGATGTTCATTTAACTATTCAAGTGTACAGTACATTTCCTTACATTCTTCAACCCCTTTTGATGACTTAAATGCATCCACAAAATACAATCCAAAAGACACTAAATTGTATCCCACTTGCAGTATAGTAGCAATGATGGGTAATGAAGAGCATGGAGTAAGTCCTAGATGCATCATGGATGATTATCCTCAGGTTGTTTATCAACAACTTCCTTCCACAAGTTCATCTAAAATCCTTGAAAGTTGGAACCCACTTAATAGGAGAATTCAACCTCCATCTTTTACAACTTGATAGAAATAACTAAGAAAATATCATGTTAATAAAAATTTGAAGTCTAATTAAAGAAATTTTATTTCCCTATTAGAATAAAATACTATTTCGACTGAGATACAATTTGGATATATATTAATTCGTTTGAGTACGATAAAAAATGAACAGAAAAAAAATAATTAAATACTTGTTTCGAGAATCCAATACGTATACAAAAGAACCATATGAAGCACCATACAGGGTATGGATATGGTATCCATACTTCATAACTTAGAACTGGAAACACCCATACTACTTGATAAAAACAGAGCAAAAATTTAATATACAACCCAGAAGGATAGAGAAAGCCATGTTGAGACTCTCTTTTTTCCCCACAAAATTTCAACTTCCAATCAAAAAGTAATTGGAGGTTCAACATAGTTCAGCAAAAGTAAAAAATGCAACAATAGCAAACTTTGCAGAAACACTATCACATTGTAGTAATTAACAATTGGAAACAAAACTTCATGAACCCTTATATCAATGAATCCCGATTAGAGCACACAAATCACACATACATAATATACATATTTTGAACAAGAAATTTGAAACCCTGGATTGAACTGATCTGAATGCTAATGGTTTTGAGCTTACCCATGGCGGAGCGTCAGTCTTTGGCCGCATATTGTTGTTGTTTCTTCGCCTTTCCTAGGATAAGTGCTTGTCGATGTGGTAAACTCATATATATATATATAGAGAGAGAGAGAGAGGGGGGGTAAAGAGAGAGAATGAGGGGGAGGTAGGTAGGGAGAGAGAGTTAGGGATTTCAATGAGAAACATGAAAATCCCACAAAGACGGTGTTAACGTTGACGATTGTAAAGAATGATGTCGTTTAGATCTTCCAAAAAGCTTGTGAGTGTCTAATTTAGTCTGAGCCATTAATTTCCAATTTCGATGACGTGTCACCATCCTATTACTTTGACTGTCCAGTCCAGTTTACGTTAAAACTGCAGAGGAGCCGGTTCCTTAAATTTTCTTGAGCTTCAATCCTTCTTTACTTTTTGGCAAGGGATCTAGGCCAAATCTTTGATAAATGGAAGGTATTTGGGTCAAAATCTCTAGGGTTTTCGGACTAAGGGTGAGAGAGATGAAGAGAGAAGATAGAAGTGTGAAGAATGATCTAAAAAAGTGCCTTTAAACTTGCTGAATTCGCGCAGTTCGCTCGAGCGTCTATTTTCCCGCTCGAGCATAATTGCTTCCAGCACAGATTCCAAAACTTCAAACGGGCATAACTCTCTCATCCGAACTCCGTTCTAGGTCGTTCTTGTGTCCAAATTGAAGCCTTGAAAATAAGCTTTCCATTGGTTCTAGCCTCACATCCAAATTCGAGGTGTGAAAAAAGAAAAGGGCAAATGGGTGATGGTTGCTCGTAGGAAAAATTATCCAAATTAAATTCTTGGTTCACTCTTACTTTACCATCATGTTACCACTTCGATCAATGTCCCAAAATAAAACAAGGAGGTTCCAAACATTAAATTGAACTTATTATCATCATCAATTTTTGTTTCGTACATCACCAAGGCCCTCAATTTCAAATCAAATTCAAAATCCTTGTCGATAAATTTCATATTCAAATTGGATACCACGTAAATAGATTTAATTCATAATCACATAATAACTCACATAGTTAAACATACAAATTCACATCAAACACAAAATCGCATGCATAATTAAGTTTATTACAGGTTGGGTTATCACACTACACCAATGGCGTGAGCAATATCCGGCCTTGTACAAACCATAGCGAATATCAAAGAACTAACCGCTGAAGCATAAGGAATTTTCTGCATCTCTTCCTTGTCTTTCTCACTTGTAAGACATTGATTCGAACTAAACTTGAAGTGACCTGCAAGTGGACAACCAACCGACTTTGCTTTATTCATGTTGAACCTCTTAAAAACTTTTTTAATGTAACTTTCTTGAGACAACCAAATCAGTCCCTTTTTGCGATCACGAACAATTTTTATACCAATTATTTGCTTTGTCGGCCCCAAATCTTTCATAGCAAAAGACTTGCTTAACTCCAATTTCAACCTGTTAATCATAGTGTAATCTTGACCCACAATTAACATGTCATCAACATAAAGAAAAAGAACAATAAATTTTTCATCCGAAATTTTTTTCACAAACACATAAAGGTCCGAAGTGGTTTTAGAAAAATCATTATTCATCATGAAAGAGTTAAATTTTTTGTACCATTGCCGCTGGGCTTGCTTGAGGCCATACAAACTTTTCTTCAATTTGTAAACAAATTTCTCTTTCCTTTTTCTCTACAAAACCCTCCGGTTGCTCCATGTAAATTTCTTCTTCAAGATCACCATGAAGAAATGCGTTCTTCACATCAAGTTGTTCAACTATAAGGTTCATACTTGCAGTCATGCCAAGTACAACCCGAATAGAAGACATCTTCACAACTGGCGATAAAATCTTATCAAAGTCAATACCTTTCTTTTTCCCAAAACCTTTCACAACAAGACGTGTTTTGTATCTCAGATTCTTGCCATCATTCTTCAATTTGAAAACCCACTTATTTTTTAGAATTTTCCTCCACTTAGGAAATTTCAGTAAATCATAAGTATGATTTTTAGGTAAGGAATTCATCTCCTCTTCCGTGGCCTTTTTCCAATCATCTTTTTTTGCATGCTCAATTGCTTCTTGGTAGCTCTCGGGCTCTCCTTGATCGGAAGTCAACACAAATTCATTGTGAGGATACTTTCCCGAAAGTTGTCGGTCTCTTGTAGATTTCCTCGACTTAAGTTGTGGTGGCAGTTCTTGAGTTAGATGCTTTTCCTCAAATTCTGGCTCAAGTTCATTAAGATTAGTATCATCCTCCATATCTTCAATAGGTGGCTGCACATTTTTTCCATTTTCATCATCTATCGAAAATGAAGGAGATGGATCCATGTCAATGAGATCACTACTTTTTGGCTCCGGTTGATTACCTTTGCCAAAGTCTTCAATTGTTTAGTCTTCAAGAAACACAACATCACGGCTTCGAATGACTTTCTTATCGACCGGACCCCACAATCTATAACCAAATTCACCACGCCCATAGCTGAGAAAAATACATTGTCTTGACTTGCTATCAAGCTTGGACCTCTTATCTTTTGGAATGTGAACA